TAATCGTAAATTTTCGTAAGTTTACGCTCGCGTAAAAACTTGCGGAGGTTTACGCCTATTTATTTTTGCTGATGTTAGTAACAAATTTATACATTTCTTCTCTGCTCCCTATATTGTCTTGGGAAATTTCTGCAAGTAATGTTGTTAGCTTTATGTGAATTGATTCCTCTTGCTTATCTAATGCGCTGAGAAAAGAAGACCAATAAGCATTATTTCCCGAGCATTTTACTATTTTATCAATATAAGTGGTATCATATAAATTTTTTGCATAAGTATGTGCTTCTTTCCATAGATAGGATATGATAGTCTCATCTTTTTTCAGACCTTTATGAAGATTTTTAATATATCCTTTAACCCACTTTTTGGCTGATTTCTGTGCTAAAGTATCTCTCTTTTTTGATATTTCATCTTCATTTGCTTCGTCTCCACCCACTTCGTCTTCATCCACACTATTTTCATTCGCTTCGTTCCCATCTGCTCCATCCCTATCAGCTCCATTATCACCTTTTAACCTTTTTAAGGCTTTTAGCAAAGTTTCAGATGACGGCTGATAACTATCATCATAATTTATAAAACGTGCACAAAGCCCGACAACACTTTTCAGATAATAGTTAATATTAATCTTTTTACCTAGTCGCCTTACTACCTCTGGATACTCTATTTTATCTCCCACCTTCTGTGATGAATTATTTTCAACTACAATATACTCAAAGCGCTCACCCAGCTCTGGAATTTGGTAAAGATAAGGTTCTGGCATCAAGCCCTTTTTTATAAGTCGTTGGGCTTTAGCTTTTTCACGAATATGTCTATCTTGCATTCGTGAAATAAAGCGTTAAACAGATTTATTATTTTTATTGGGCTTCCACGCACTAGTTTGAACCAATTTATTAAGGTCTATCTGAGAAATATCGTTTATAGTTTTCTTAAATACTTCCTCTACAATCTGATGCAAGATATGTGTATTGTTTATCTTCATAGATTCATCCATAATATGCTTTCCTATTTTGCGAAAAAGGGAAGAATGCTCTCGTTTTACAGTTTCTACCCCCGAATAAAAAGCTTTTTATTAAAGTTTGGCTTGCTTTCATGTGGAATGCCGTAATATTTTTTCTTTCCAGTAAATACTACTGGGAATAAGACTTCCTTATATGCCATTTTAAGAAAAGAAGATCTATTATCTTTTTTGAGAAAACCATTAACTTCATCGCGAAGTTTCTCCAGTACCCCTATAGAGACTTTTACTATTCGAGACCAATATTCTTCTTTTGATATCCCATTGCCATAGTCATATGCCTCATCACATTCCTAAAAGCATCCTTCTGGGCAGACTAGATATAAAGAATCTGTATCTCTATATTTTATCTGGAAACCCTTACTTTTAACAAAATCTGCAACAAGTTTGATGTTTCTCTGTCCAGCTGATGTGACAC